TTATCTATTTAAAGGTAATATATTATAAAAGGCTATTATTTTATCCTTATTAGGTTATAAAGTATTCTTTAGAACTTATTTAATTAATTTAAGCCTTAATTAAATACTATATCTTTAGAAAATTTATAAAACCTTTACTAATAGTCCTTAAAGTATAATATATATATTTTACCTAAAATAAATATTATTACTTTAAGCTAAATAAATTTTAAAAGTCTATTTATAATAACTATAAAGAAAGTAAGGTTATCTCTAGCTTAAATAGGTAACTTTATTATAAAGTTAATTAATAGTATTAATTAATACTTATTTAATATAAATAGCTATTATAATAGGCCTTAATACTATTATTTATTTTTATATATATTACTATAATAGCAGTTTCTATAAAATCTTTATATATCTTAATATATTTTATTTTAATAATAATTCTTATATATATTTTTTTTTACCTTTACTATTAGCCTTATAAGGCTATTAAGCTCCTAACTTTATATATAAAGGCTTAAATAATAAGGCCCCTATAGTAAGCCTATATCCTAAAAGGTTAAAATTATATAAGGTTTATCTGCCTTAATGGCGCAATTGCTACCTTAATTAAGCAGTATTAATACTGCCTGCAGGTCTATTACCCTTTAGCAGCTATATTAGCCTTCTTCCTGCACCCTACCTAAAAGACTAAGATAATACCTGGCTAAGTCTATTACACTTCTATTAAGTATATTCCCTAACCTAACTTTTTATACCTATTAATTATAGTTACTAATATTAATTATACCCACTATTATAATCTTACTATATATAATAGCCTATAGGCCAATTAGGCCTTTTATATAACTAATAATAACCTTATTAATATAATTAAATTAATACTAATAGAAGCTATAGGCTATAAATATTATAAGCTTTATATAATAGCTATAGCTATTAAAAAGAACTTTTTATTAAGGAACTAATTTAATTTAATTAAAATAGCTATTTTTAATTATATTTTAATTAATATAATTAATTATATAGATTTAAATATCCTATTTTATATAATATCTTTAAATTAGCTAATTAAAGAGCTAATATAATTAAAAGATCTAGAAAAAGCTATAAGGTAAGGTAAGACCTTAATAACTAATTAGACTACCTTTCTAACTGCCTTTTTAGGCCTAAACTTAATTAGCTATAAAAAATAGCTATAAAATATAATTATTAAAGCTAAATATATACTTAACCTTTTTCTATTTATATAAAGGTTAAAGATAAATATAAAGTGATAATAAGGTTCTTTAAAGGTTTAAAGGAATTTAATTAATATTTATATAAATTAGTTAATAAAAGTTAAATTAATATCTACTAATTAATTATATATATTAAGGTATATAACTAATTAACCTTATATTTAAGAACTGTAAATAAAGTGATATTAATAAAGAAGTAATAGGTAGAATTAGGGTTATAATTTTATATTACCTTAAAACGGATTATAGTATTAAAATATATTTAAAGTTAAGTTTATAGATTTTTATTAAAAGATTAATTATATAATTATTAATTATATTAACTAAATAATTATAATTAAATTAATTATTATTAATTTTAATTATATAATAGTATATTTTATAATAGAATTTTTAGTTTATTACTTATTATAGCTTAATCTCGTAAAGTTAAAGCCTTAATAGTAATTACCTTAATAAGGTAATAATAAAGAAAGTATTTAATTTATTAAGGCCTAAAGAAATATCTTTTTTATATTTATAAATTAAGGTTATCTATTTAATTAAATTATAAGGTTTATAGAAATAGCTATATAACCTTAAGCCTTATTATTAAGGTTATTATATTTTTTAATATAATATATAATACTTTATATTATATTATATAAAAAAATCAGTATTTTATTATATTATCTTATTTCAGACCTTAACTAGCTATACCTTATATATTATCATTAAGATATTTTAACTTTTTAATAATATAAGGTATTGTATATTATATTAAAGAATATAATAACTTTAATAATAAGCCTTAAGATTATATAGCTATTATTATAAACCTTATAACTTAATTAAATAAATAGCCTTAATAAACTAAATATTTTCTTTATTATTATTTTATTAAGGTAATTACTATTAAGGCTTTAACCTTAAAAGATTAACTTATAATAATTAAAAAACTAAAAATTTAATTATAAAATATATTACTATATAATTAATATTAATTATAGCTATTTTATTATAGTAATTAATAACTATATAATTAATCTTTTAATAGAAATCTATAAGCTTAACTTTAAATATATTTTAATAATATAATATTTCTTAAGGTATTATAAAATAATATAAAATTACTTATTATATATTAATAAGCTATTAATAATATAATAGGTTAATTAAATAATTTTTAGTTATTAAATATAGCTATTAAATATTAATATAAATAAAGCCTTAATTAATTATATTATATTAGGCAGTAATAATAATTAATATTAACTATAATTTATAAAGTTAAAATATATAATTATAATAATTAAATAGAAAATATAAATATTATATTATAGAAATTAAAGGCTATTATAAAGTAAAGAAAAGAAAGTAAAGAAAAACATAAAGGTTTTAATATTAAAAGAAAAACTATAAATATTAATAAATTAAAGCTAGCTTAAAGGGTTAATAATAAATTAAATTAGGTTATAAAATAATATAATATAGGGAATATAAATTAAGGAAAAATATAGCTAAGTAATACTTAAAATACTTTATATTATATTATATTAAGAAAATAAGTATTTTCTTATATTATTTTATTTAAGACCTTAATTAGCTATACCGTATATACTATTATAGAGATATTTTAACTTTTTAATATATTTAGCTATATAATTAATTAATTTTATATTTAAAAATAAATAATATAATATTAATAAAAAAGTAATTACTTAAATTAGGGTTATTTAATATACTTAAAGTATTTAAGTAAAAATAATATAATAATATTTTTAAGATATTATTAGTTTATTATTAATTAATTTAATATAGGCTATATAAATAGAAGGTTCCCTAATTTAAACTACTGCTTCTTTACTAATATTACTTTACCTGCAGTTATTAGATATAAGGTTAATTAG